ATTTTAAGGAATTCTGATTACACGGTTTATTGTAGGAACAATTTTGCTTTCAGCAGTTTTTGCTCCTCCCTTTATCTCTGGTGTCATTTCATTTCTCTTTGATAGTCTTTACTCTGCCTTTGAATCACACTGTCTATTTTTCTTCTACCCATTATTCCGAGGTGACCGGGGCCTTCATATATGCTATTTCCTCTCCCTGAACCACTCTGTCTTTATCTACTCCACAGAGTAAAATTTTCATCACTCTTCAAATCTGTCTTTATAAAGTGTCTTTAAATGTTACCTTATATTTGTCCTTTATAGTGATTCCTGTTGTTCACAAACATCTATTAATATATGTTATTTTCAGTTGTATCTAACACAGAATGTGATCAAATATTTGTTTAAATAATAAAGTTTTCCTTGTTTTGTTTTTAATCTAGGCATATGTATCAAGGCTTCCTTGCTTTTCCCTCATAGGGAGTGTTCCTTGGTGATTAACTAATCATGTGCTCCAATTCTCATCTCTGGGAAGATCTCTCTTATCCAATATTCACCTTGACCACACTGAGAGGGACTTTGAGAAGAAGGATCTTATTTCTTTAAAAATCCACTTCCTCTCTTTGTGAGTTTAAGCACTTGGAACTTTCTAGGAGCTAAGAAATTCTACATCAAGAAACCATGACCAGGTTTGGGATTTCATTCACTCAATGAAAAGCTTGGTGTCTTACACCAAATGTCATTTATTTCTTTGCTTGTGAATCTGTAATAAACAGGTATAGATCAGGCTCACCCTGTATATTTCTGCTTAGACTCAGGTCTCCTGCAGCTTCAGAGCACAATCATACTACAGAAGTACATGTAAGCATCTTCTAGTATCAGATATAATGCAATCATTGATTATAGAAAGTGACATGGTCAACTCTCAATAACAAAAGTACTAGTAGGGGAAGGGCATCACTCCATTCCCTTCTAAAGGACAAAGGTACAGATTGGGTTACAGTGGCCAACACTGCAATCAATCAAGGTGGAACATGGTGGAAAGAATGGCATTTTCATTTTTACCTTCTGCTGGAACTTTCACTAATGATGAACTTTTGAGAAGGTATTTTCTTATGCTTAGGATTTTCTCCCAGCTTTCAATTTATTATTTTTATTTGACTTGAGTGAGAATTTCTTAGTTACATGTTGTCTTTTCATGAAAAGTATTTCTAATTATGCCAGTTTATTTAAAATTCAATTTCCTTCTAAACTGGTCATTTTTCAGAGAAAGTGAACCATATCTTTTGATAATAAAAATTTAAACAATTCTTTTTAAAGGCATATGCTCCTTTGCCACTAGATGAGGCTTCCTAGGCACTTCTTTAAAGCATGTTCTCTAAGCAAATACGATATTTTAAAAATATATATTGTAAGGTCAATATGCCTCCTATCCTACAACTTTCCTGGCTAGATAGAAAATAGTGAAAGGTAAAACAGAGAGAATTGTTTGATGACATAGCTTGGTGTCTGTATACTCTAGAAATTTCATCAAGATGTGTTAGCCTGAAGCTGGTCTTGCTGCATCTGCCACCTTTATCCTACCCAACTTTTCACTGACAAGACAGTAGAAGAGACTCTTACTCCTACTTACTATGGAAGTTACTTGTACTTGGGAAAATGCCAACCTTAATCACTAATTGATTAATGAAACTCAAAGAAGGGAGCATTGTGCTCAAAGAGAATGGATCTCTTAGGGAAGAAAAATATGAAGTTCTTTGACATTTCTTTTTTTTTTCATTGTTTATTGGTACTTTTTAGGTGTACAATACAGTTGCATTCATCATTGGGATCTTGTACCTTTACATGATGTATCTTGATTCTTATTTTTTTCACATTCCCCTGCCCTCCCTTCATTCCCTCTATCCTTCCCTATTGTTTCCATTTTTGAACACTTTTAGTTTTCCGTATCAGAGAAACTATTCAGTATTTACACATATGTATCTTATTTATTTCACTTAAGAGTATGGCCTCACTGTGCATCCATTTAGCTACAAATGTCTTGTTTTGACATTTCTATTAGGGACACACAGTGTCTCTAGAGAGACAAAAAAAAATTCAGCAAGAAAGGGAGGTTATTTGTCACTACTTGACTATAAGTCCTGTATCAATTAGTACTCACTTAAAAAGAGAATGCTACTTTCATTGTTTCTCTATTCTCCTATGAATTGTTCATCTAGTCTCCAACTGAGCATAAGGTATGGTCTTTATATTGGAACTATGTGAAACAGAGAAGAGTTCTTTGGAAACATTCATATTTTGGAATCAAAAGAGTGGAGGTGTAAGGGGCTTGGAATTCTTTTGTGTTTTAAAAATGTTGACTATTCTATTATCTTCTTCAAAAACCTTTGCCAAAGTTTTAGGTCATAAACAGCAGAATTCATTGCTCCACAGTGTAAAATCTTTTTTGTAGGCATGATAAATATGTTCATTCTTTCTACAGTGCCAGTTACCCTTACAGATTATTTCATGAAATAAATGTTTACTTCTCTATATTTTCTAAGAATTATTTCAGTCTGTGTGTACACAAATCTGAATCATGTCTGCTGGCAATCACTTGGGAGGAGGTGAATTTTACTAGATATTCCTGGGATTGGTAAGGGAGCAGTGGTATAACAAAACTGAGCATCAGAACTGTGTAAGTAAGCTTCCTGTTACTCTAACATTTACCTGAGGTAATCAACACAGAAAAGAGAAGTTTTATTTTGGCACAGAGTTTTGAAAGTTTCAGTCTATGATCAACTGCCCCCCTTACTTTTGGGCCTGTGACAAGACAGCATGTCATGGTGGCAGCAGGTGACATTCCTCATGTCCAAGAAGAAAAAAGAAAGAGGAGGAAGACAGGCTGAGGTCCCACTATCTCCTTTGAAGTACACGCACTCAAGCTCTGGAAGATGTGCCACCAGGTTTTCCTTTCTAAAGTTCTCGCTAAGTATCTTCCAGTGTTGTTGCTGGCTGGGGTCAAGCCTCTAACAGTTAGACTTCAAGAGACATCCCAGATTCAAGAACTGTGTTGAGTATTGTTTTAAAATGTTAGTTGAGGATGGCTGAGGTAATAAGCAGGAGAGGGTTTTACCCATCCGATCACAAAGTTTGTTTGGATCCTACATGTTATCAGGCAAAGTTACAGGAATGAAATGAAGGATGCAGCACTGGAAACCTTGGGGATGGTGCCTGAGTAACATCTCTCCATACCCGTGACTATGTAGGCCAGCACCTTTAGCATTCAGAATGGGAGAGGTGACATGTGGTAGTACAGCCTAGAGCCCTTTGAAGGATCTATGAAAAGAATGGATTTTGTGGTCATGATTCTTAGTTATTATAGTGCATTTTTTGACAAAAACAAATCTCATTAAGTTTTGATTCGGGGGACAAGTTCAGTGTAAGCAAAGTTGATTAAAAGCAGTAGCTGCCTCTCCCAACCAATTAGTGATAGTTCATCCAAAGGAGCATTTGGGATGCTGGCCTGGCACAGGAGTACTATTACTGATTCTTTCCAGGAATGCACTGCAAGGATGATGGTTTCTGCGTGTACCCCCTAGGTTTGCGAGGGAGGAAAGAGGATGAGATGATATGGCTTTGTGTCCTTGGCAGTGGAGTGGCAAATCATATCTATTCCAGAAAGAGAATGACTGCACAGCCATGAACCCTGGGTTCAGCCTCTCAGAAGGAATAAACACTGAACCCAAGTGCATTAGCTCTTCACGGCATCTTTCCAATCAGTCTTTCAGAAATAAACAGTTTATACACTCAGAGTAACCCTACAGGACCCCTTCAGCAATTATTTTATAAGTATTCCTTGGAAGGCAAACACATTTCTCCTGCTCCTCTGTCCATGGCAGCCACTCATCTGCTGTAAACTGTTAAAGTGGACTGCTGGGCAGCATTCCCTGGGTCCTCAAGGCCCAGAAATATTTTTGGAAAACAGGGTATTTCTGTATTTACCATCCACTGGTGAAGTGTTTTGTCATCTGAAAGAATCCTCTCCATAAAGCCTTCCTACCTTTCCACCTGACCTGAGGTTTTCTGTTCCTGGAGCGTCTGAGAATTTTCTGATTGTCCAGAGAATTAGCTGAGGGCAGAGCCTGGGAAGTAGTAGTTCACTTGATATCGGAACTTCTCTGTTCTGCTCCATAGGAATGAGAAACTGCCCATTTCTCCTAAACATACACTATGAGACAAAGACTGCAATCTGATTTAGTCTTTAATGATAAGAACGCATGGTGAGTGCTATCAACCAACTCCTTTTTTTTTGTTTGTTTGTTTTTTGCTTTTTGTTTTTGCTTTGTTTTTTTGAGACAGGGTCTCACCATGTAGTTGAGACTGACCTGGAACTCCCTATTCACTCTGCAGCCCAGGCTGGCCTGGAGCTCACAGTGATCCTCCTGTCTCAGCCTCCCAAGTGCTGGGATTAAAGGCATGTGCCACCATGCCTGGCTCAACCAACTCCTTTTTAAAATGAGGTAACCAAGCCCAAGGCAAAGGGGAGCGAATATGCAGCATGTCTGAGACTCCACCCACCCTGTTCCAGGGTCCTGCTCTTTCTACCGTGACATCTCAATTCCCTGTGAGGACTGGCATGTGCTGCACATGGTGCACGTTCAGGAGCACAACTGGCCATCAGTATGGGAAGCCATCCAGGGTTTCACAGACTGGACAGGGAAACAGAAGTGCAATTGTATTAGGCAAATTAACCAAGGTCACAGAGCTAGAAGGTGGTAGTTCTCATATTTGAACTCTGGTCTCTTTTCCCGAGCCTACACATTGTATTATTGCTCAGAAAAAGCTTTATCCCACCCACTCCTCTTTGTCAGTCCTACCACAGATGATAACTGTGGGTCTGAGTATGTATATCTTCTCAAGAAATTATTTTCCTCCTTTATTGGGCAGAGTTATGGTAGTCTTGTCTTCCCTTGATTTTCCCCTTTCATTAATCTTAGAGTTGTCTTTTTTAAACTTTGCCTTCTCTTTTGTTAAAAAAGATTACATTGAAGCTTTTCCTTTGAAGGCATCAAGAAGGAACTACTATTTCTGCAAGTTCATTTTGTCTTTAGGTAAGAGATTTTCTAAAGATCTATGGGGTTTTAAAGTTTGATACACTCTATCATGAAGGACTAGATTCTTTTTTATCCAGTCTTGGATATGTATGAATTTGGAATAAAATACCTGAAGCCATATCAAGTCATGAGATTTAACAAATATTTTATCCTGATCTGAAAAACTTTGTATCCTTTATCTCCTGATATGTTGCAGTTTAAAGTTAGCTGGGTCTAAAATGAGGATTGATGCTAATAGGTAAAACTACATGAGAAATGATATCAGAGTTAGGGGAATGAGTGGATTAAAGATGGAATAGCAGTATTTATAGAAACTCTACCTAGAAGCTTCCTTTTGGAGAGAGAGGCTTCCCTTAATCCAATCCAAATTCCAACCAAAGGCAGGATTAAGGTGGTAGAGGGTCTTCTTAACTACTACTTAGAGTTCAAATTAGATACTGACAAAATTAACTTATCACTGTCAGAGTTGATGCTACCTAAAATTCTTCTTTACAGCAGCCTTATGTGAAAGTAGTGTATCTACTAGATAATATTTTAAATGTGAAGAAAATTCCACTTCTTTCAAAACACATTAAACCTTTGGGTGAGGAAAAGGCTGTAATATTCTAGGTTTAATGTGAATACACATAAAAATATAGAGCATTAATAATAGCTGTGGTACTTGTCAAATTAGTAGTAGCTCTAATTCTTAGTAAATGGGAATCCTTTCTTGAACTCTCTCCTAACGGAGCGAGGACAGAATGAAGGCCTCTCACTCAGCTCCTTCCTCCACAAGGGGCACCTGCTTCTTGACAACTTGTTTCACCTTCTTGACCCCCATTTTTTCTTCCTGTCTCCCTCACTGGATCACAACTCCACCATTATCCAGATGGATAGAACACATAATAGTGAACCTTTGTCAAACTCTAACCACATGTCTGTGTTTTTGAAAGCATTTTCTTGAGGATCAGCTTATTAAAATAACTCAAGGCTCCTTTCAGGTACCTAAAAATCATTATGCCTGTTCACACATGAGGAAATCATGACCCACATAGGGTAAGTAACCTACCAGAGTCATACAATGACTAAGTGAATTTTAACAAGACTTGACTTAGAATGCAAGATACCAGAGCCCAAATTCTATAAACTACTAGGCTGTATTGCCTATACAGATATATAGTTTTTTATGTATTGTAGAATAGAATTCTAGATCAATTCTTTATGCATTCATATTATTTCTATTATCCACATAATATCCATATACTACATGTTTTGTGTGTATTGAGGTTACTAACAAATATAACTGTCTCAATATTTGTTGAATATATTATATGCCAGGGTAGCATATTTTGTAACGTTATATTTGGTACATAATAGATGAATATTACATTATTTATAAATCATATATAAGATAGAAATATTAAATTGAAGTTAATACTCGCTGAATGAGTGAATGGGTAATCTCTATGGTCAGTTTAGCCCTTGTCACTTCGGTCTCTTGTCTCCTGTGCTTATGACACTGGTGTCAGTCAAATTCTCACAGGTACACATATCCAAGTTGTTTCTAGAAAAATGATGAAATCAAAGCATTTATATTGCCACTACTGGCAAACAACTTTTGGTTCCGAAGTTCCTGAAGAACAAATGCTCTTTATTATGGTGAATTCCTTTCACTAGAGTTTCTTTTCTTTTTACTTTTTCTTTTTTTTTAGGAAAAATACAATTTTTCTAGGATCTTCTGGACTTTGAAGAGTTTTTTAACTAATTCTCCTCACAATGTAGCAGTGATCTATAAGCCAGAGATAATGGCTTCACAATTACTTTCAAGTACATTTTTCTCAAGAAACCAGATATTTGGCTGAGGTCAAAGCATCACTTTTCTATAGAAGGTCATCATGTGTTCTACCTAAATAATGAACATGCTTACTACTCCACTAAGCTAAAATACACATGTCAGCTACTACTCATCTTTTATTTTGGGACTAAATTGACAGACAAAAACAATCCCTAGGTTATTATTTGAATGAGAAAGAAGCCTACAGTTGTAATCAGACAATAAACCAAAGAATAAGACAGAGTCTGGGAACATCCACTCTAGTAATTCAGATTGTGGAATTCAGGCAAAATTCCCAGATTGGAAATTAAGCAGGAGATGACCATTTAGAAATAAAAATGAAGGAATTTAAGGCCCATGATTATATATTACCTCATCCAGGAAACAGCATGGGTAAAGATATCCCCAGTAAGATCTCCAGTTTGTACACACACACACACACACACACACACACACACACACACACATGCACTTTTCTTGGTCAAATAAAGTTGTTTGTGTTCATGCTGTTGCTTTAAGACCCCAGCCTTTAGTGAGAGAGAGCGTCCGTTTTCCCAGAGCAGTTCAAATGAACATGGAATTGGAAACAGATGTGGGCTCCAGCATAATATTGCACAAGGGCGAATGGGGCATACAGGGAAGGAGGGGGAGGTGGCAGGCCTGCGTGAAGGGACCTTCAGCAGCCCCAGGACTCTCATCACTTGAGGGGGTCTGAACTCTGAATTCCACCAGCTTGCGCTCTGAAAATGAACTCCTAACAGAAAACAGATGGGGGTTGGACCTGGAAGTTGGGGGAGGGGGAGGAGATGGAGGCATGAGGAGAGTTGGAGAGGAAGGTTAGAAAGCAAGCAAAGTCAAAACAGTGCAGGGTGTGAGTTCAACATTCCTCCTGTAAGGAAATAAAGGCGCTTGAGCAGGGGATGAGACTTGGAGTTGAGGCATGGCTAGGTCGCTTAGAACCTCCAGCAGAAGGAATTCCCATTGTTTTTGCTCTGCTGAGAAGAACCAATGACATTCAGAAGTTCTAAGAACAGAGAAAATCAAGCCAGATTTTTTTTTCTTTTGCCTTTTGCCTGGGAAACATCTCATCCAAACAGACCACTTGCTTTTGTAAATGCCAGTAGTCCTGATAAATCAAATGCACTGGAGCCAGCATAGTGCTCATGTTACTTTCCATAAGGGCTTTGTCTAAGCAGAGGCACACCAAGGGCGACTGCAGCGGGGGAGGGAGCTGGTCCAGAGCATCGTCTGGACAGTAATACCTCCTAGGTCTCTCCAGCCTGGGAACAGAGATAATCCACTTCTGTCTCCCTGGACCTGCTTATCCGAGATTTGACAGTTCCCAGACTTCAATGAAACTTTCCATTTTTTCTTTCCTTTGTGAAAACAGCTTTATTTTCCCTTCTTAGTAAGAAAAAGGATAAAGTGGACTGCTCCATGACTGTAGTGGATCTAAGGACAACAATGTTTGGCCTTGCCTATTAGAATCTCAGGGCCCTGAGTTAGCATGACACACTCATGTGAGTGTTATTTGCTCTCATGCTTGTTGGGCAAGATAGCCTTAAATGTTCTTGAAGAGATTTGTACTCTATAAACATACAGCAGTGATTCTCATTGGGAGGATAGGATTAGAGAGGGGTATTTGGCAATGTCTGAAGATATTTTTGGTTGTCCTAATTTGACAAGGGTTACTATTATCATTTTCTGATTAGAAGCCAGAATTGCTACAAAATACCCTACCATCTACAGGACAGACCCCCACAACAAGATATTACCTGGTAAGAAATTATATCAATGTACATAAATCGAATTATAATATGTGTAATCCATAATCCTTGTGACAATTCAAGAACAAAGATGGTATAGATAAATAAAGTTCAAAGCTTTCATTCTAAGGCCATGTTTCAAACACTGCTCTCCAAAAGAACCTTAAAGATATTGAAATAATAATAATAATAATAATAATAATAATAATAATAACAGTAATAAATACAGTAGTTGCTTCACTGAATTGTACCACATGCTAAACAAAAATTTAAGCACTTTACTCATGAATAAGTTTGTCTTCCACCAAAAAATGTATGAAATATATGGTAGCATTTTCCTAATTGATGAAGGAAGGACCTGAGACATGGGCAGGTTTAATAATATGCCTGAGGTTTCACAGCTGGCAAATGCAAGGCTAGCTTTCATGGGTACAAATGCATACGGCTCCATTCACAGAGAGGTCTCTTATTTGAATTAATGCTCTGCCATTGCTGTCATAAAATTCTTAATAGTTTCATCTTTGAACTATGACTATTTGCAGTTACTGCCCAATGGGACAAGAGAACCTGTGTAAGCAGAGAAAGTATGGGTAATGTCTATGTCTATTCCCTGCTTCTCAATACACATGCAGTATTAATAATATCCTATGGATACATGATGGACCCACGACCCACGAGAGTTGAGAAAAACCCACAAGGACAAGGTAAACGAAAAGCATCTATGTCTAAGTGTGGACACTGGTAGCCCCACACATTCTATCAAAAACAGGAGTTTCATTGAACCTAGGGAAAAAAGGTAGTGAGGTTCTAAGAAACCAGAATGTGTAGGCACTCAATCATAGCCCATACTCCTCATGGTTCTCCCCTGGATTAGCCGATTTCACACAATTGTATTTATGGCAGAGAAGGAAAGGGAAGGACAGGAAAAGCCTTAGGCCTTTCCCTTCCGTCCTCACTCACCAGTGAACCAGAGGTGTAGAATGTGGGTAGAACATACACATCTTGGGAAGTGAAACAGAAATAATTGAGCTGGTTTTCCACTATTATGGTAAGAACATAATATGCATGTACATAAGTGCCTAGGAATATAAATTATGTAATTTCAGTGATTGCTGTGGCTTGAGAGTCCTCCAGAAGATCATGTAGTAGAACCGTAATCTCCAGTGTGCTAGTGTTGCGAGGTAGACCCTAGTGAAAGGCATTTAGATCATGAAAGCTCTGTCCACATAAATGTATTCAGGCAGCATAAAGGCAGTGGGTTGGTTGTAAAAGTTAAGTTTCCATGTATGCTTGTCTAGCCCTTCGCCTTTTCTACCATGAAAAAACACCTGTGACACCCCACCAGGCGCTGTCACCATGCTCTTGGCGTGCCCAGCCTCCACAAGCAAGAAATGAATACTTTTCTTGATAAATTGCAGTCTGTGATGTTCTGTTAAAACAATAGTAAACAGACTGAAACAGTGATTCTGCACACAAGTCAAGGGATTTTAGATTTGAATTCACACTGGTATTGCAGAATTTAAAAATGAATGGTAACTCTTGTGTAAGTAATGTAAAATTCCAATTTTTCTTTCCTTAAAATTACATTAAAAGTGGAAAAAAATATGAGAGAGGGAGAGAGAAAGAGATAATTAAATATGATTTTCTGTGGCATTTCCCCTTGATTATTGAATGGGAAACTCTGCATTTTCATTTTGAGCTGGGCTCTGCAAATTATATATCTTGCTGTGAGCAAGATACAGCCATGATTTGAATTTTGGCATTGTGCATGGAGAATAGGCGCTCTTATGTATGGGGACATATATTTCCATTCTACAATCCAGCGTGATATAAATGAGCTAGACTTCAACAGCAATTTCTCTATTTGTGGAGAAATTTGTACCTCCCAGGGTACAAATTGGCCTGGGTGGTATCCATTTCCTGAAAATTGTGATTGTTGGTTTCTCTGGGCAATATGTCTGTCTGCAGGGGCTGCCTCCTGAGTGGCATGCTCAAATCTTGCATGGAGCAGCTAAACTTTGATGTACTGCCCTCTAATTTGTATGTCTCATTAGCGTGCTTTTTAATCCATGGAGTTGATAATATTAGTAAATTTAATTTATGGATCCCAGTGATCTATGTGCTAGAGATTTTATGTATCTTATCAATTTCATCTCCCACACATCCTTAAAAGCTGATCTCCTGAGTAAACGATGATCATAGGTCTCATAAAAGGAAGCTGTGGAGTCATTATCAGAAAAAACCTGAGTCTGAACAGTTTCCACTCTGCTTCAGCTGGGAGAGCTCTCCCTCGCCTTCCCTTTGCAATAATGGTTTGGTGCTTGCGTCATTCTCCACCTGATCTTCAGCTGAACACCTTTGTAAGGTGAAATGTAATAAAGGACACTTCCTGTGATTTTAAAAACACATCCTGGAAAATTGACCTGTTTGAAAAGGTAATTTTTCTTTACAATTTCTTATTTTGTGGCATTGAGGCTTAAAATAAAATTTACTGGAACAACTTATGGAGCCCATGTGCTAGTGATATTTTGTTGAAATAAGTATCGATGTCTCGGGAATGTTTTCGTTTGAAATATCTAAGTGATAAAATTGTGAAATGAAGTCATTCTCAAGTGAGACATAGGCTGGGGACATTTTGATGTTTTGGCTATATCCATGGCATTATTCTACATACACGTTCTAATCTGTTTTATTCTTTTACCTGAATTTTAAAAAAGGAAATAAAGACCGTTTTAAGAAAATCTGATCTTAATCTATTTTTATACATTTCAACATGGCTAAAATAATCAAATTCTTCAGGAAAGCTGTAGTGTATAAAACCCTCAGTAAGCTGCCACATAGGCTCCTTAGGAGTCACCATTTGACTGTGTCTTATCTCGCTGACCGCCACTCAGAGGTGGGGTTCAGCATGCATTACCCAAGATACTAGAGTGATGGGAAGGGGAGAGGTAACTATGGGGAGAAACTTTTCTACTTCAAAGGATACATCTTTTTCCTCAGAATACAGCCCTTTTATGTATGATTTCTTAAAAGTGGAGTTCTGTGTACATAGCTTATATAATAGTGTCTCTTTTCTTTTTGTTTTCCCCTCCTCTCTCCTTTGAGACACTTGTTTGCCTGAGACTAGCAGAGATGTACACAATAGCATAGCCTATGAAGATCTACAAAACTGGGCTTAATTGCCAACACCTTTTCTGATTATATTATTTTACCTGTTTGAAAATATGGTTACACTTTTCGAAACTCTCCAAACATTACATTGCTCATCTTTAATTAAAACAGACATGATCTACTTAGTCCATAGGGTTGCTCAAATATTTTTACATGACAGAAATGCAAGCTAACCTTCACATTATAAATATTAAATAACAGAGTTCCTGGCATTTATTACATATGGATTTTGAATGCTAACATAAGAAACAATGGTATTGCTAGTATTTTTTGTTCTTAAATTTAATGAAATATAAAGAAATGTAATATAGTATGCTGTAATCTTCCCAACTTCTGCTGAACCCAAACCACTCATAGAAAAGCCCATTTGCTAAAATACTATAGTTATTGTGGTCATATCAAGTTTCATTTTTAAATGATACAGTTGTTTGCCCATGTGAGTTAAAATACATATTTGTGTTACCAGATTTAGTTTTTCAATGTAGGATTTTAGGTTATTGAGAAACTAAATGTTGGTGTGCTTCAAGTGAAATTTACATCAATGCATATACAGCAAGTGTATTTCTGTGACATCTTAATTGATGATGTAAAATATTTTAAATCTATTCTTAGGGATCCTTGTACTTGATATTATAAACGGATACTGGCATTACCATGGAAGGGAGTTTTGATATGGATATTATTATTTCTTTTGCCCTTTGTCTTGATATAAGTGACCTAGGAAAGCAAATGTATGTGTCATATCATAGTGTCTATAGTATCATGGATTAGATCTTTGGGTTTTTTATTGTTATTTCATTAAAGTTCTGGTAGAAACTATACAAAGAAATAAATGTATAGAAAAGTTTTAGTGAAATCTTTTTCCTGTCATATCAACAAAACACCAAAATTTCTGTCAATGAGTTTAATTTTCTGTATTATAATGAAGCATCTATCACCTGTTATTCTCTTCATAAGAACATTTTCAGGGCTTGATTGGTTTGATAGGAGAGACACAGAGTTTAGGCAGAGACATGGAAATTGAAATGAAGAGATCAAGGGTAGGTTCTTCTGATGCTGAAATATAAGTATGGTGGAAACGAAGCCATAAATCATTTGATTTTCTTTGAGGATATTATAAACATAAAATCATGCCATTCATCTCTTCTTTATTTATTCACATACCCTATGTAACATATAAAAAAGAAATTTCGATTTCTAATTTTTCTATAAATTTACAATCTTAATTACCTGATTCTATACAAATCAGAGTTAACTGTTATCTTGTACCCCATGGACACTATTGAATTCTCCATAGTTCATTAATTATTATCTGCTACATGCAGCTTGAGAAGGCCCCCATGAAACACAATATAGAAACTGTGCTCTTAATCTTGTTTATCATCTAGAAACAGATGGCCCTCTTCCTAGCTCAGATGAAAATTCAGGCACTGAAGTGTATGTACACACACACACACACACACACACACACCTTCAATTGTTTTACTATATCAATGGAACTAAATGGTGAACTGAATGCCTTCTCATTTGCACATCAGATAATTGATGCTATTTATGATAGAAATGAAATTGGAAGCTAAGAAATCAACAGAGAGAAAGCTGCCTTGGAATTGCCATTCTGTTTTCTCTGGAAGAAGGGAGGAGCCAGTGACTCAGTTTGGCATTACATTGACCTGATCAAAGAGCAACATCAGATCCTGGAGGAAAATTGAGTATCTTGAAAGTAAATGCAATATCAAGACATATTTCACAATTGATTGTTTCCTGGCAGTCAGATTCATTTCAAGGAAAGGCAATGGACAAGTTCAAACAGGGTAATAAAGAGACTAGATGAAGTATGAATTTCTTTTAACCAAACCCAGGAATCATGCCAAGAAACATATAGAATGCTTCCCAGACTATTGGAAATGTGTTGTAAACATGGCATTTAGCATAACCATGCAATATAGTTTGTACAATATTGACCAAACAATGTGGTCATAAGACTAAAAAAGTTAGATCTTGAATGAACTTTCACATATTAAGAACTTCCTATTATTTTAGATACCTTACATAACTAAATGAATCCTTAAAAAGGACTGAGAATTTATGCTATTACTCCTATTGAAATTGTCAAATAGAGGCAGTCTGGAGATGATAAGGATAAAAGGCACATGACAGGACTTTTAAATTAAAACATAACTAAAATGTTAGCTGCTGCTCTTGCTTATAAAAACCCAGGCAACCATAATAAACACACAAACATTCAAGTGATATTGGCAGAGGAAAAATTGTTTCTTTGCAAATGAAACTAATTTTGATACACATTCTCATCTGGGACTACTTCCAAACTTACTCTTCCTTAAAGGTCTGTGATGTGCAACTTGGGAATCTTTATGTCCACAGCTTGATGGACCATTTGACCACTTTCAGTGGGTCCGGTTCTGGGTAGGTTGAGGTGTTGTGAATCAGAGCCACCTAGAGGAAGTTTTTCAAACCACTTAAGACAGATTATGATGTTTTCAGAGGGAAAAAAGAATTGAATGTGTTATTATACCAACAGAGCATCAGAGAAATCTTTAATAAAGGCAATGATAGTCCTCTCTTGTCCTTCACAAATATAAAGCCTTATGGGAAGAAGGGCTGATTCATTTCTAAGTCACCTTTCTCATTTCAGAAGGTGGGTTTTCACTAAGCCTGTGGTGAGTCTCTCAATGCTGTATCATTTCCTTAGTAATTTCCTCACTCATGGCCCTGTCAAGCCAGAGACTCCACCAGAAAAGTTGTCATGGTCTCATTGATGAAGTCACATCAAATCGAAGGTGGGGACTTGGAAGCACTGAAGGACATATAGAAGGTAATTTGGAACAGCATAGAAGGCCAGAATCCCAGACTCCTACCCCTGAGCTATGCGTCCTTTCTTTGGAATCCTGTTGATAGCCAAACAATTTCTGGAATTAAATACCCTATTTAGACCGGTCATTTGAAGTTGTAATCTCTCTCTCTCTCTCTCTCTCTAGTTGTAATCTCTCTCTCTCATACATAGCAACCATCTTTCTTAATTTCTAAGACCTCTTCCTTTTTAAATAATTCTTCCTCATATGGAACTTCTGGTTTATGTTAAAAGTATAAGACATACACTTTAATTTTAAGGATATTGATTTAGATGATCTTAAATTCTTTTCTTATTCTAGAATCAACTCTGTTTTTTCCCATTTGTGTACATATACTTGCATGCACATGTGTATGTATTTATGTATTGGTACAGGGAGATTATTTACTCAAAAGTGTATCTAATTTGAAAACTAAGTTACCTTCCTAGAAATGCAAGAAATGGTAATGTTGATGGCAAACTTCTAACCAGTTTCTGCTTTTTCAGGTAATCGTGGTCCCTGGATTTACCTGGCTCTGCAGCCCACGAGAGCACTTCTGTTTACCCAGCATGGTGGCCTGTTTCCCATGTGTGGATGACTGGCAGGACTCTAAAACTGAGAACTGGACTCTCACTGCCTACTAACAGCAAAGGAGTAGTTCATTATAAGCATTTCTCAGTTAGTTAGCCAGCTTCCTCTGACTATAACAAATACCTGAGATAATGAACTTGTAAAGAGAAAGGTTTATTCTGGTTCACAATTTTAGAAGTTGCAGGTCACGATACGTTGCCCCTATTGCTCAGAGCCTGTGGTGAGGCAGCACTGCATGGTGGAAGTCCATTGCGGAATAAAGCTGCTCATCTCCTAGAAGGAAGCAGGGTCCTTTTGTTTCCTTCAAGCACCAGCCCCCAGTGGCCTGCAGACCTTCCACTAGAGCCCATCCCTTGGGGGTTTTCACCATTTCACAAGTACTTTGATAGAAATCTGGGGGAACAATTATCCACATAACAACATCCATATGGGGAGCGTTATTTCTATATTTTCCTATTGAATCATAAAGTCATTCAAGTAGGCTGATATGTTTATGTCATTATTGTGTGATCAGATGACCACACAGTGCATGGTCCCTTTATTCATCATCAGTCCTTCTATTCAGCTTCCCTGAGAGAGTGGAGCTAGTTAAGTGACAGAATGTTGCATGAAACCTGTATCTGTAAACTTAAAAATCTGTTCTGTCTTGCTGTAGAAGATTTAGGTTATGAATTTCATTAATCATTACTCAAAAGATATTTACTAAGCCCATGCCGCACGATGGGCACTGTTCTAAGCACTAGAGAACAGTAATGAAAATAAAGAGGGAGCAATGCAGGCTCCTTCCACTCCCCATATCCAATTTGCCTGGTCAAAATTGCATACACCATTGCCCATGCCATCCCTAGCATACTGCTTAATCAGATTTCAGATTCTACACTGAAGCCGTTATTAAAGATCCACAGTCATCTGTGATTTAAATTCAGTAGCTTTGATTTCTTATCACTCCTCTTAAAGGAAGATAATGTCTTTCCCACAGGGCCCTTAGAATTTCTCATTCATACTTGCCCTCTGAGTGCAACTTTCAGTTCTGCACAACCAGAAAAGTTATGAATGGTGCTTTCCCTCTAGTTTTTTCACTCTTCCCACCCCTGCCTCCCAATAGAGCAGCTGTTTTCTATTACAAAGCAGGCTGACAAGGTGCTGGTCTGGAGTAGAATCTCTTTGGCAGGTAATTTTGATGAGGCCCAGAGGTAAGGGGGTGGGTGTCTCTGATGGGTTTCCGGTGCTGTTATCAGCCTGTCCCACATCCTCAGACGTGGCTGCTGTCTGTACATAGGACTGATTTCTGGCTTGGAGCCCATGAGTGCTGAGAACATCAGTCATCCATCAGGGTTAATCCATTAACTTTTTTCTACTTAAGCCAAGAGCTTGGATATGGAAAAAAAAAATCCACCTTCCCTCTGGCAGAGAACTGGGGCTTAAGTACCGAGTAGTGACACTGCCAGTTCTGATGAGCACTCATGCTTCTATTTGTTGTTGATTTACAAATGTGAAGTAGCAATTCAAAACCCGAAGGAGACAGTACAGAAAGAAAGTAAATACCATTTGCAAAAAGCCCCATTTCATGTCCACAATACCTACAGAAGAGTAGATCATTTGTGTATAAATACCAGGGTTTCTTTATCCATTCATCTGTTCATAGACTCTGCCCTAGAGAAGGATAAACTTTAGTCATTTGTAGGAAAGATGCATTCACCTTCTGACCCTAATGTTAGGTGAAGTAAATCAGACACTTGAGCTTGAATACCCCATGATTTCTCTTTTAAGAGAAACCCAAAATATAAATAAATTAAAGAGCAAAATTAAAGATAGATAATAAGAAACAGGGAGATAGAACTTTTGCAAAAGGGAAGAGGACTGAGAGATGCAGTTGGAGGTGGGAGAGGAAAGAGATTTAACAAGATGTAAGATGCATTGTGAACATGTACCAACTCCTCAGGATGAAAGCAGTTATTATCTATTACAAATATGTAGTAGTAAAATGTTTTTAAAAAGAGTAGATTCTGTGCTGAATTTTGACAGAGAAGTTTCACCTACGGCAGTGGTGGCGATTCTATGGTGCATGTGTTATTTATTTTTCTTTTAAGACAAAAGATGTTAATGTATGAGTTTTTTTTTTCCTAAACTAAAACTTTAGTATTCATGTTTATCTGCAATAAATTTACCTGCAATAAAAAAGGTAAATTGCAATAAATAAGTAGGTTTTTGTTGTATTTGGGGTACTTATCTATAAAAAGTTTGCCATCACCAACCTATAGTTTCAAACTAAACTTTATATTCCTTTTAGCTTTTGGGAATATATGTGTTTGTTAACAAAAAGGCTCAGCTAAACCGTACTGAGCATTGTGACCTGGACCCTAGTTTCCTAGCTGGCTTTCTTTCTTTCTTTCTTTCTTTCTTTCTTTCTTTCTTTCTTTTTTTTTTTTGAGACAGGGTCTCACTATGTAGTTGATACTGATTTGGAACTCACTATGTAGGCCAGGCTGGTCTCGAACTCACAGTGATCCTCCTGCCTCAGCCTCCCGAGTGCTGGGATTACAGGCATGCGCCACTATGCCTGGCTGCTAGCTGGCTTTCTGATGGGTATTTCCAGAAACTAGTTTTCCTTGGAATTTAACTTTACTGTTTAGATGCAACAAAGACACCTGGAAAAAAACTAACACCTTTTATCATTAAAATAAGAAGTTGTTATTCCTAGTTGGCCTCGCTAGACAAGCGCACTTTCTCTTTGTGAAGAATACCAGATGTCAGGAGATTTGGGTGCATATTCCAACTCTATGATTAAGAATAATACTAATAATAGCAAAGCATGACAGAAGCATTTAGCATCCAGTAGCATTTACACTAACCATATTTATCAAGTGCTCACTCTGTGATAATGTAAACTAATGTACCCATGTAACACATTATCTGATTTGAACTTCATTACAACTCTGATCAAGTAGACATTAATATTATCTCTTTATTGCAAATTTGTACACAGGCTTATTTTTTTTTTCTTATGAAAAGCAGGGGTGAGAACAGGAGTTACAGAATATATTTCTAAGTTTCTGTACAACTCGATTCCTAAAGGAAACAACAATAATAGCAACAACAGCCACAAAAACAACAAAAAACAAATAAACAGCGAATTGTGATTATGTATGCACACACAAACTATATCTATGCATCTATCTATATCTATATAGGTAGAGTCTACACACTCACAACTGTCTTAGTCACTTTCTTATTGTTAAAGCACCCAGAACTCAAAGGGAGAGCGTTTTGTTTTGGCTCGTGTTTCAGTAGTCTCAGTGCTTGCATAGTGCGGTGTCAACTGACTGCAAAGCAGGACAGTGTGGCAGAAAGGCACGGCGGAGGAATGGCTGCTCATGGCATGGAGGCAGGAAACAGCAAGTCCAGGCAGGAGTTGAGGAAGGGAGGTAAACCCTTCTAGGGCAGGCCCTTGGTGATCCGTCCTTTCTGACCTTATCCCACCTCCTAACACTCAGTCAGCTGTGAGCCTTCATAAGCCAGTCACCTTCCAAAAGTCTTGCCTGTGAGCATGTGAGGCTCTTGGGAGGCATCTTGTTATAAACCATAACAATATTTATACAATAATATAGTCATAGACTTTTAGATAATTTTGTAATGTAAATAAAACTTCCATGCAATTATTGGGGTGGACTCTATGTTTGTTCTCTCAAATCCATATGTTGAACTCGTAATCTCCAAAATGATTGCATTTGGAGATGGTTCCTTTGGAAGATACTTAGATTTATGTAAGCACTCATCCCATCATAAAGGGGTGGATGCCCCTAGCCTAGAAAGAACGTTCTCCCCATGCTCCTTTCCCTTCCTCACTCCCCTGTGTGAAGAAGTAGCAAGAAGACAGCTTTAGCTGATATTCAGAAAGTTCCCTCACCAGCAAACCAAGTCGCTGGAATTCTGATCTTGGACTTTCCAACCTGTAGAACTGTAAGATATACATGATTTTGTTTAAGCTGCTCACTCTGTGGTACTTGAGACTCACAGTTAACCATTTTAGTAAGATGGACAGAATAACTGTCACTAGTCTAGTTCTAAAGGTGAGAAAATTGAAGTTCAGAAATTTGTGTACTTTGAGAGACAAGACCCTGAAAATTTCTCCAAATGCTACTTCTACCCTCAATATTTCCCTCCACAGTCTACGTTTACAGTTTGTGCAAGATGAATTTTACACAGGAGCTGCTCTAATGGAACTCTAGTTTTAGCTAAATTCTTTCCAGGTAGCCCCAAGTATGTGCCCTGCCTCATACTTTCTTTGGTATGCAAATACCATAGTGTGGTTTCAAATGGGGCCTTGAATTCAGAGATGAGTTATGTTAAAGATCTGGGGAGAAAATTTAACTTGACTTTTGCACTCATGATTGTCTGATATTTATAAATCAGAGTAGGAGCCTTTTCTAGACTTAAGCTTTCACCAGAGACTCTTCTTTTGTGTCTCTTGCTCAGAAACATAGTTCCCTTGGCATTTGGCCCTGATTACTCTCTCTGCTCAGCAGAAATCCTTACTGAATGGCCCCTTGGGACATGATTTGAGCAGATTTAATATTGGATAAAGGAAGGACAGTGGTGCACATTGCCCTGAACACTCTGCAGAGCTATCTCCCTGAATTTGAACCAAGTGGCCTCCTGCAGTGTATGCCTAACATATTTCTTTGAGAGCTACATTTTGGAATTTGATACTTACTCTGCTTATATTTTCATGCACTTATGGAGCCATGTATATTACACAAAAGTATGTACATTGAGGGAGTTTAGGGCTTCATAAAAGATCTCTGACATTCTCAGAACCTTGGTGCTGGTGGATCTGAGAAAGATTAGGAAGAAGAAAGGAAACAAACACAGTTCTGGATAGAGCTCCTTTTTGGGCCATTTGAGAAATTGTGCTTTTCTTTCCATCTTGCCCTTGGCAGACTCCAGAACACTGAGGGGATCTTCATTGAGTATGTTTGCAATGTGACAGCACACACATCAGCATGGTATC